GGCCTTATGGTCCTTATTTCACTTAACCTCCCCAACAGCCTATACATCAGGTGGTCTTGTTATCAAAATTTTACAAAGAACCTGATATTCGGCATGGTTAGTCACCTGTTGAAGATTGCACAGCTGCTATAGGGCAGAGCCAGCATTCAGTACCCTGCACTCAGGCTGCAGGGCCCATGCTGCATGTACTGCCTATTCATATAAGAACATACCCAGTAAAATGGAAAATACGAAGTAAAATATAAGGATCGTGGAAAATATTAAACCATATTGACATAGAAAAAAAAAAGAACCAAATTTAGACTTTGAGGTACTTAATAAAAAGTCACTGTAGCTGAGCATATTTCATTCTGTGCTTCCTAGTGACCAAAAAAATTAAGGGCAAAACTGACAGATACAATCCATACTAGCCTTGAGGGAGATGCACAGCAAGATGTTGCCTGATCAAGGAAATTGATTCTGTGGAGCTTTATATGCAGGACCTTGATAATAAGTCAGTAAAATATCCTCAGCAACATCCTTACAATAAGTGAATCAGTGGTTCTCACAAATCTTCAATAGAAGCCAATAGCATAATGTCCAAGCATGGCTTGTAGGCTGCATGGAAAATAGGGGAGATAGGCTCCGAGCATAGTAGCCATCATCCACAGTAGTTTCTAGATCCTGTAGCTTTTTTAGTGTCTTTATTTATGAACAAATAGAATATTTGCCAAGATCTTAGATATATAGAGGCAATCTTTAAGACCATCCCTAGGCAATGAACAATCTTGTATCTCTTCCTACCTTACCTCCTGTTGTAAGCTGGGTTCTTTGGGAAACATGTTGAAACAGAATGGGGAGTGCAAAGGTTTCTGGGGAAGTAACACCTATGTAAAGAAAAGGGAATAAGCAGGATGGGGCCAGAAGACCCACCAGAGCCCGGTGGCAACCATGCGGGTTCTGCCAGCTCAGCTAAGGATTCCCATATGGAATGAAAACATCTAGACCTTCTACCTGCACTTCTCTCAGGCATTGACGGAGCTTGTACTAAGGATAGCATGACCTCAACTAGAAAGCTGAGGCAAACCCTGAAGAATCTAATAGCTGGAGGATGCTAGCAATCTACACTCTTCACAGCTGGGCAGTGAGTTTTTTCTTAAGGAGGGTTCTGAGCAGAATATCTCCATGAAATGATGTTTCTACCTTCATCTTCCTAGGAATAATTTTGTACCTATTTACAGAAGCATGAAATGAGAACCAAATATGTCCATGTTACGATCTACCACTACCATCCCAACACTCTGCAACTCAACTGTCCTTGGGCAAGAACTATAAAGAACAAAAGATATTCAAAGAATTTATCTCATAGATAACTACAAATGGAACTCTCCTCTCTTTCACTTGGATTTCTGAATACTCCAGACCACTGATGTCAATTCTTCTCACTAGGAAAACATAACCTCATTAAAAGAGGAAACAAGCGGTCCACTTCTTGTGTTTACCCTCTGGGTCAGTTCATGCCCCATGTTCATGCCCCATGTCATGTGGGGATAGTTGTGTATTACTATGCCTCAGAAAACTTCCCCTCAAACAGGAGTGAAGAGAAGAAATAACAGTAGTTGCCTTATTTTCCCTCTTTTCAAGGAAACATTTGCCTTTGCTGAAGGTAGCTCTGGGAGAGTGGGGGTTCCCCGCCTGGTGCAAGTTCTCTATGAATTTGATGAGACTGAAGGAAGGCAAGGGCAAGAAGTTGGGAATTAGGGTTCATTCTCTCAGCTCAGTCTCTCCTGGCTCACACTGGCAGCTCTCTCCCGCACTGCTTGCGACCCCTTCTCACAGGGCTCCCAAACTTCTGCTCCCAGTCTCTCTCTCCAGCTGCACTCTCTCTCCCCACTCCTGCACTGGGAGGAACTCTGTGGGAGGGTCCCTGATGACTGGCTGGCATCTAACCAACTACATACCAGGAATAGAGGAGAGGAAAGGGGTTTCTGCTCCACCCCTATCCTGGACCAGGAATCCAGTGACTGACCAGCCTCTCTGTCCTGGGTAAAACATCCCATTGATGTGCAAACAGGATGCCTATCAGGGCTAGGCCGGAATCCTGGTCAGAAAGTTCCATTTTCCCCACACTGAATCTGATGTTTGCACATGTAAGAGTTCTTCACCACCCAGTAATGACTAATGACACTGGCTGTCCAGTTGGCCTCACTTAATGAGATTCTTGGTTTTTGCACAAAGCAAAGAGAACAGGTTTTAGGAGGACTTGGGTTTCTTTAATTAGACACATGATTTTTATTTGTTTGGTGGACCAATGGAGAAAGGGAAATAGTAGTGGCATTTATGACTTGTTAAGACTAATGGAAAAACCTCAGGAACAAAGCTTTCTGTGAAGAGAGTGCGTTAATGAGAATGGATGTGATGATTATTTACCTAATTGAGCAGTAATGACTGAGGTGCGGGCCACTTTCCCTGGTTTCATAAAGAGCCTGGAAGTTGACAGTTTGAGCCATTAAGCTCAGCTAGTAGTTAATCTTGGGGAAGGGCACAGTGCCAGGATAATATTAGTATTATAAAGTAAGCTAGAGACACATCGAAACACAAGAACTTAGTTTTTTGAGAAATAATTTTCATTGACAGTTAAGTATTTCATATCAGGTTGGTTGGGCCATGCAAATCCTATCATTAAACAAATTTTCACATGAGGTCTTAAAATCTTGTTCCATTTAGTGTCCTCAAGCACTTGGCTGTTAAAAAAGAAATTTGGGAGAGAGGCAATATTAAAAATAGTTTCTTATACAACCACAAGCAAACAAATTATCATCACCTCCCTTGCTTTAAAACTACAACCAACAGTAACAATAAAGACACTGAGCTGAGCTGGAAGCATTATATATCTACCTTGGAGATTCAGCATTTACATTGTTACCCAGTGTTCCTCTGAAACATTCTGAAATCATTATCTTTATCTACTTTGAAGAAAATGTTAATGGGGCTCAGTCTGCTCTATGAAAGCACTTCTACTTCAATCAGCCAGTCGAGCAACAGCAGTTATAATGTAGTCATTCATTTAATGGAAAGCTTCTAAGTTCTAACTATGCCATAAGACAGTGTTAAGGTCTGGAGATGTGAAGGTGAATAAAAAATAATTTCTATCCTCCCATAGTATAGTAGAACTAGAAACACACAAGATAAATGTATTAATGTGTCACAGGTACTTTCATACTAGGGTAGGGAGAAGCCCACAGGAGGGGATCAGCCAGTCTCAGTAGTCAGAAAAGGCTTCATCAAGGAGGTAAGCTTGAACTAAACTCAGAGGATTTAGGAGGTGTCCTTCAGGTAGAGGTACAGAAAGAACCTCCCAAGTCAAGGGAGCAACATAAAGGGGCTGACAGAGTAAACAGATGGGGATGATAGAGGACCAGTACAGGGTTCCCAGTAAGAACATCTTTTGAAGTGACTCTGGATTAACCAACACTCCTCTTCAAAAGACCCCAGCCAACTAACACCCATGACTAGCAGGATAGGCCCTACTGAGCCTGTCCATTTCTGCTCCCACCTCTTGACATGAGTTATATGTGTCTGCCCCCAAATTGGTTTATGTAAGTTGTACTCATTATTGAAATTATGTAATTAACATAAGTAACATTAAAGAGTTGTTGTTATGTGAAAATTAAGTTGGATACTTTGGAAAGACTTGACATTTCTTTCTACTGAGTCACTAAAGGAAGCTGCAGTAGAATTAAGCTCAGGGAATGTAACTGTAAAAAAATGAAGGATTATAAAAATCCCGCCACCAGAGAAGGGCTAAAACTGTGTCCCACGCAAGACCTGCCACGGATACTAACCAGGAGCTGGACTGCCATAGGGGAGACATTGGAACACCGAGAGTGTCCCCCATTCAAGGCCCAGGATCACAGTTCTATTTAAGACTGAGGCTGAGCCAGGATAAAACAGAGCCCACCAACCACCCGTTCAGCAAGTATTCAGAAACAAGCACCAGCAGTGTTACAGGAACACAGCTGCCATCAAAAGCAGGGAGTGGAGCCTTAAAACTCAGCATCCACCCTAAGAGCACATCCAAAGGGCAACGTGAGGACTGCAGGCTGAGGATGAGCAGAGCAAAAATCACTAACGCAGTCTTAAGCCTTCATGAGAGACCCCTGTGCGCACATCGCTGAATGACTGAAAGAAGATGAACTGACAATACACTGATGTCGCTTTCTACACACGAGCCATGCAGTTTCTCATCTCACTGTTCCCCACCTCTGTAACTGTTCATGCCGTCATCTGTGTCTAGAATCAATGTCCTTCACTCCCTTGCCACCTGACCTATCCTTACTGGCCCTTTACTGTTCAGCTCAGGTGTCACCTCATTCTTGACTTCCCACTCCACCCATGTTCATGCTCCAACTGGGAACCCACATTCACGCTTGCCAGAAATCCTCAAAGGGACAATAAAGCCTGCTGTGAGCCTGCTTTGGCTTTTCTGAGTATTACAGTTTCCTAGGATCTTTCACTGAACAAATTTTAAGAAGCAGGACTAAGAGCATGGAAGTGATTAAGCCTTTAAAGTGTACTCTTTGTTCCCAAGGTCCTGTTAGTTATCATTTAGGAAAGGTTTATTTGCAATGTACTCAATTACTTAAGTAACTAAACAGCATTTTACTGATCAGATAGAGCAGCATGTGCTTAATAACAACAAAGGCTGTGGCTCAGTTCCATTGATAGTCTACTCCCAGATATGGGTCACTGTACAGATTGAGCTCAAGGGGAAAAAAGAAATTTTGCTGGAGAATATTATAATTGTTCATACAGACACTTAGATCTACACAAACATAAGTGTAGGTTGTTTTCCCATTATTTTCAAATTAAGGAATAAGTAAACCGAAAGAGAAGAGCCAAGTAACTCCAGTGTCCATTCTACTCATACATCCAGTCCATTCATGTCAGGAAAATCTTCATGAAATCCCTATTGGACCAGGTCACAACCCACAACTCTCAGGACCCTGCTCAAGTCTGACCTTGTCAGTTAGACCTTCTCTGATTACCCAGAACTGCTGTGAGATTTCTCTTCTCCAATCTTTTGACACTTTTACATTTCTGTTGTAGTTCCCAGGTGCTTGCCAATGTTTCTAATTGCTGTTACCTACAGAGGAAAAAAAAGAAAAGAAAAGAGACAGGCATGAAACTGGAAAGGCCATATACCTGTTAGTGGTGGGCCCTACCATGTGAATGGTCAAGGAAAGTTTCTGCAGAAGGGCCCATAAAAGGCAAATAAGAACTCAATACACTGATAAATGGAGCAGGGCAGGGAACACCAGCACATGAATAATCTGTACAACTCTATACTGAGGGCCTGCTGCAGTATGCTTAGCATCCCCAGACCCATCCACTACTTGTCTGCAGTTCATTATAACTTGACAGTTACAAGTTAAACCTGTGTTCTATCCATATTCTTTCCTTTCTTCATGTAAACACAGCTCAGCCTCCATCAGCTGATCACAGCCAATTACTTTTGCGAGGACAGTGACTCCTTTTTTTGACTGCTGGTTCCTGGACACGAGGAGTCCCAAGTGCCATATAGGGCAGCCATAGCTTTTAGTTCAAGGGGATGTTTGCTATGTCCCCTGGTAGGATTGCACCTCCTTTGAGGACTAGAACTTTCAGCCTGCAGAGCAGACAGTTACACAGTATCCCCCAGTGGGTCACTGGGAGTGATGCTAAGTGAGGCCATTCCTGCCTGTACCTCTTGGTTCTCAGATGTACGTACATCTCCTGTTAGTGACACAGCACCATAAAGAGGGCTCTGATTTACTGCATATGCAGTATGTTGAAGGACGATGCTCCATCTTTTCAGAATATTGCCACCAGGCTGACACTTTGTAGGCAGTCTATTCCAGTGCTGCTCTTAGAAAACACCTGCTTCTAGGTGGTGCACTATGTGATATAAACAAGGGATTCTATGATCAGGGGTTAAGTCCTATACCCCCTTCACTATGAAGTGGGTCCCCTGGTCAGACAGTATGTTGTGTGGGATTCAATTCTTGGTGGGCTGTCTGAAATCTTCTAGGGGATGATGAGTGGTGTTGATTACAACTCAGAGGTCGGAGAGGGCAAGCTCATACCCAGAATAGGCCTATCAATGGGAAGATGGACAACTGGCCCTTGTAGGATTAAAGGGGCCCAATGTAGTCAACTTGTCACAAAGTAACCAGTTGGTCTTCTCAAGAAATAGCACCATATTGGGGCTCAGTACAGGTCTCCAGTGTTGGCAATTGAAAGACATTCAAAGACAGCAATAACTAGACTGGCCATGATAAGTGGTAATCCATCATATTGGCCAATTAGTAGTCTTCCTCTCTGCCATGTTGTCCACTCCATTCATGTGGCCACCATGCCTGTTCTGGAGTGACCAGTGACAAATCCTGCATAACGTCACCTTCACAAGTCATTCTGTCTATTGGTTTAGTACAGGTCTAACTCCCTTAGAGCTCCTCTTCTGTGACTTCAGAGTTCAACCTTATGATTAGTATATTCCCCTTCGGTCATTACCAAAATCCTTCCTAGGTGGCTACATTGGATAAGTCAAAGGACTCCTGCTTACCTTACTTTTCCTCAATGGTCACCTGATGAATCAGAAAAAAATAAATAAATCTTTGCAGAAATTCATTTCTACTGTGGCATGGCTGCAAATCTGAGAGACTGAAATTAATCACTTGTGTGTTTTTGTTAGACTATTTCACAGGCCTGGTTAACATCTTGACAGATATCATCTGGCGATTCACTGGAGACTTCATGGCACCTGATCTGGTCTGCCGAGTGGTTCGCTATTTGCAGGTACGTAGCACCTTCCAAATGTGATGAGACAAACTGATACCAATGTTAGCTCTTGGATTCTTCATAAGGAAAATTCTACAAAATCTTGCACTCCTATGCAACAAACTGCTCACTTTCTCCTAGTTTAAAGGACAAGCGAAATTTGTTTAAGATTTTTTAAATGTATTTATTTTGCTAAAAGTAACACATATACAAAGAAAACACAAATAAGCAATAATAAGAACATAAACATTCATATTTCAAGCGTTAAGTAAAATTTCTGGGTCAATATTCAGGCTTTTGACATATTCTGGCTGTCTTTTGTCCATTTGGCTGTAATAAAAATACCACTGAGTAAGTGGCTTATAGACAACAAACATTTATTTCTCACAGTTCTGGAGGCTGAGAGCCCAAGATCAGGAAGCCAACATGGTCAGGTGAGGGCCTTCCTCCAGCCTGCAGACTTCTCATTGTGTTCTTACATGGCAGAGGGGCAAGGAAGCACTACAAGGCCTCTTTTATAAAGGGACTAATCCCACTCATGAGGGCTCCACGCTCATTACCTGATCTCATCCCGAAGGTCCCATCCCCTAATGCCATCATGTTGGGCATGAGGATTTCCAGTATATGAAAATTGTGGGGATACAGTATTCAGACCATACATAGTACTGACTAAATAATCTACAGAAGATTTGTCAATTTTTGTGGTTTTTTTCCCCCTCAAACTAACTGAAACAATGGCTACTGTTCTTTTTGAAAAGCTGGCAGTATGTTAGAAAATCGGCATTATCTGTAATTGTTTTAACGTGCATTTCTTATATTACCACCCAAATTGGCATTTGAATTTCTTCTCTAAATTGCCTATTATCTTTTCTCAACTCTTTTGTGACTGGGATGCTTATTTTCTCAGTTATTGCTAATATCTGTTTTTAGATTAGAGACACTTATATTTTGCCTGCTGAATATGCTTCAATTTAAAAAATATAAGTGTAAAATAAACATTTAATGTAAAATATTACATATGTACCAAATACATAATTGAATTATTAATACATCCTACATGTATATTACATAGATTAAAGCACCTCAACTAAGTATGAGAAGATGCACCACTTTAAAACTGGTGTTAAGATTAATGTATCCTGTTTCTGAGATCTTAGAATTATTTTGCATTAATATACTTTTATGCTGGTGCCAGTACTTCAGGTCTAAATTACTGTAACTTTACAGATGTATAGTGCATTTGTATAAAACCTTATTCTGCTAAATCCCATTTATTAGTAAGTTTCTTCAAGAATCTCAGCATTATATTCATAAAGTGAGATTATGATTTTCATTTGTTTTATCATTTTCAGATCTTGGTAATGGAGTTATGCCATCTTCATAAAATTAATAGAGAGTAGTTACAATTAAGAATCTTCTTTTGTGCTCTGAACATAACCTTGTAAGTTTAGTAAATGTGGAGGAGTCTGTATTACTAGCTGGTACTAGTATTTTCTCAGGGGTAATTTTTTTAAAAATTTATTTCACTTTCTTCTTGTGGATTTTTGCTTCCTTAAAGATGAATGTTTTCAATTTCTTATTATATCAATTACTGAGAAACAAATTACACTAATACTTAGTGACTTGAAACAATAAACATTTATTATTTCACAGTTTCTATTAATCAAGAATTTGGAGTAAGTTTGCCTGAAGGATCTGACTGAGGCTTATACTGAGGTTCTACCAAATGTTGCCATGGACTACAGTCATGGAAGGTTTGACTGGGGCTGGACAATTCATTTTCAAAGTAGCTGGCAAATTAGTGCTAACTTCCAGCAAAGCACTCAGTTCTCTGCATGGGCCCCTCCACAAGTGTTCTTTAGTGCCCTCCCAACAAAGCAGCCTCTTTCCCAAGAGTAAGCCATCCAAGAGAAGGAGGGTGGAAGCAACAATGAACTAGCCTCAGAAGTCAGACAACATCACCTCTACACTATTCCATTGGTCACACAAGTCTGCCCTGAATCAGTATAGGGGGGAAGGGAACCACAAAAGGGTTCCAGGAGGCAAGGATCCCTGGGGACATCTTGGGGCTGACTGCCACTCTAACCTTCACTTCTTTTTTAAATTTTTTATTAAGGTATGATTGATATACACTCTTATGGAGGTTTCACATGAAAAAACAATGTGGTTACTACATTTACCCATATTATCAAGTCCCCCACCCAATGCAGTCACTGTCCATTAGTGCAGCAAGATGCCATAGATCCACTATGTGCCTTCTCTGTGCTACACTGTTCTCCCCGTGATCCCCCACACCACGTGTACTAAACATAATACCCCTCAGTCCCCTTCTCCCTCCCTCCCCACCAGCCCTCCCACACCTCTCCCCTTTGGTAACCACTAGTCCCTTCTTGGAGTCTCTGAGTCTGCTGCCATTTTGTTTCTTCAGTTTTGCTTCATTGTTATACTCCACAAATGAGGGAAATCATTTGGCATTTGTCTTTCTCCACCTGGCTTATTTCACTGAGCATAATGTCCTCCAGTTTCATCCATGTTGTTGGAAATGGTAGGATTTGTTTCTTTCTTATGGCCAAATAGTATTCCATTGTGTATATTGTACCACATCTTCTTTATCCATTTATCTATTGATGGACACTTAGGTTGCTTCCATATCTTCGTTACTGTAAAAAGTGCTGAGATAAACATTGGGGTACCTATGTCTTTTTGAATCTGAGAAGTTGTATTCTTTGGGTAAATTCCAAGGAGTGAGATTCCTGGGTCAAATGGTATTCCTATTTTTAGTTTTAGGAGGAACCTCCATATTGCTTTCCACAATGGTTGAAATAGCTTACATTCCCACCTTCAGTGTAGGAGGGTTCCCCTTTCTCCACATCCTCACCAGCATTTGTTGTTCTTAGTCTTTTTGATGCTGGCCATCCTTACTGGTGTGAGGTGATATCTCATTGTGGTTTTAATTTGCATTTCCCTGTTGATTAGTGATGTAAAGCATCTTTTCATGTGTCTGTTGGCCATCTGAATTTCTTCTTTGGAGAATCGTCTCTTCATATCCTCTGCCCACTTGTTAATCGGGTTATTTGCTTTTTGGGTGATGAGGACTGTAAGTTCTTTATATATTTTGGATGTTAACCCCTTGTCGGATATGTCATTTACAAATATATTCTCCCATACTGTAGGATGCCTTTTTGTTTTGTTGATGATGTCCTTTGCCATACAAAAACTTTTTAGTTTGATGTAGTCCCATGAGTTCATTTCTGCTTTTGTTTCCCTTTCTCGAGGAGATGGGTTCAGGAAGAAGTTGCTCATGCTTATATTCAGGAGATGTTTGCCTATATTGTCTTCTAAGAGTTTTATGGTTTCATGACCTACATTCAAGTCTTTAATCCATTTCGAGTTTACTTTTGTGTATGGGGTTAAACAATAATCCAGTTTCATTCTCTTGCATGTAGCTGTCCAGTTTTGCCAACATCAGCTTTTGAAGAGGCTGTCATTTCCCCATTGTATGTCCATGGCTCCTTTATCATAGATTAATTGACCATGTATGGTTGGGTTTATATCAGGACTCTCTAGCTTGTTCCATTGGTCTATGGGTCTGTTCTTATGCCAGTACCAAATTTTCTTGATTATTATTCTAACCTTCACATTTTAAAAATAAACATTGCAACTGTGTTTTTCTACATGTTAACTTAAAAATGTCTTCTTTATCGATAATTATTCATTTAAGTAATATTCCTTATAACAGTATTTACAGTGAATACCAAGATAAAACTGTATATAAAATATATTTTGGTGACATAGTGAAGATGCGTACAAAAAAGTTAACTGATCTTTGACAGAGGAGCAAAGATAATTCAAGGAAGAAAGGGCAGCCTGTTTAAAAAATGCTGCTGGAGTCATTGGACATCCACATGCAAAAATAAAAACAGAGCCTAAATACAGACCTTACACATTTCACAAAAGCTAACTCAGGAGGGATCATAAACCTGAATGAAATAAGTGATACTATAAACTACTAGCAGATAACGTAAGAGAAAACTAGGGGACTTTGGGTTTCTTGGTGACTTTTTAGATACAACCGCAAAAGCAGTCTGTGAAAGAAAAAAACTGAAAAGTCAAATTTTATGAAAATTTAAACATCTTAGTTTTGAAAGACACTGTTAAGAGACTGAAAAGGCAAGACACAGAATGGGAAAAAACTTTTGTAAAACACATATTTGATAAAGTGTTTTTATCCAAATTAGGTAAGAAATGCTTAAAACTCAACAGTAAGAAAACTAACAACCCACTTAAAAATGGGCAAAAGATCTCAATAGTCACTTCACCAAAGATACACACAGATAAGAAAGAAGCATATGGAAAGAAACTCAACATTACATGGCATTAGGAATTTGCTAATTAAAGTAAAAATGTGATACCACTATACAAGTATTGGAGAGGCTAAAATCCAAAAAAAACTGATGATATGAAATGCTTGTGAGAGCATGTACCAACAGGGACTCTCATTCTTTCCTTGTGGGAATGCAAAATGGCACAGCCACTTCGGAAGACATTTGGCAATTTCTTATAAAATTTAACATACTTGTACCATATGATCTAGCAGTTGTGCTCTGAGATATTTACCTAATTGAGTTGGCAACTTATGTCCACACAAAAACCTGCATTAGAATGTTTATAAGCAGTTTTATTCATCATTTCCAAAAACTGAAGCAAGATGTGCCTCAAAAGCTGAATGGATAAATAAACCTGGTACATCCATACAATGCAATATTATTTAGCAATGAAACAAAATGAGCTATCAAGTCATGAAAAGTCATGAAGGAATCTTAACTATGCATTGCTAAGTGAAAGAAGCCAGTCTGAAAAGGCTACATACATAAGATCACAACTACACGACATTCTGGAAAAGGCAAAACTATGGAAACAGTAAAAAGATCAGTGATTTCCAGGATTTGGGGGAACTGAATAGGTTAGAGCACAGGGATTTTTAGGACAGCGAAGCTTTTCTGTGTGGTACTGTGCTGATGGATACATACCATATGCATTTGTCAAAACCCATAGAGCTTTACAACACAAAGAGTGAACCTTAATATAAGCAAGCCATGGACTTCAGTTAACAATAATATATCAATAGTAGTTCATCAATTTTAACAAATGGATAACACTAACATAAGACGTTAATAATAGGGGAAAGTGTGTGTGTGTGTGTGTGTGTGTGTGTGTGTATATGTGTGTGTGTGTGTTGTGAGGGGTGGGTAATATGGGAAATTGCTGTACTATTTGCTCAATACTTTTCTGTAAATCTAAAATTGTTCTAAAAAATAAAGTATGTTAATTTTTTAGAAGTCAGTCCAAGGATTCTCCTTTAAATGAATCCAATCTGGCATTTTTCTAAATAAAATTTATCTAAGTTTCCTGCATTTAAGTCTCACTTTCCTGCAAGATTTTCTCTGGTTTCATATTTCCGAGGTCATTTTTGTCAGAATTGAGGTGTGGGGTAGTGAGAATTCAGACATATGTCCTCAAACTGCCATCTGTTCTCCAAACGGTATCCCATATGTTGTTGATGTGTAGAATTTTCATTGTTGACATTTATGAATTGACTATAATTGTACTTTGATTTCCTTTTTGATTCAAGTTAATTACAAGGGTGTTTAAATTTCCAAATGGTATTTAAGAAAAAAACATGATACTAATTTCAGCTGTTATTACTTGTTGTTTTAAATATGCAAATTGTGTAAGTTTCACTTTTTGGAATCTATTGGATTTTTTTCTTGGTAGTTTGGTTTATGACCAATTTTTGAAAGTTGCCTAGATATTTTATAATAATGTTTTATTTTTAAAGTTTGTTTAAATTTTTTCTATTTATTATTATGTTTATTCCTCTGTAATCTTTGAACATTTTACTTATATATATCTTCAGTGTTATGTTAATTGTTACATATAAATTTCTTAATATTCTATTGCCATTATGTATTGTATCATTGTATCTTTTATTAGTATGAATAATCTATCACATGTAGTACTATTTGTTTTGAATATCAATCATCTGATAGTATTATAATGAATGCCTTTCGTTAATTTTTAGTTGCTTGATATATTGTTAGCCATCACCCTATTTTTAAACATTGATTATCATTTAGTTTTAGAAGCTTCTCTTCAAAATCATACACAGTTGGATTTGGGGAAGGGTTTTGTAAGTAGTCTTTGTTTTAGAGAAGGAGCTTAGTCCATTCATATTTATTGTGGCAAATAGTGTTCGGTGTTATTTCAGGCACCTCATTTTAATCTTTCTGTGTTATTTTTTGTATTTTCTTGTGGATTATTTTTCCCTTTAGTATTTGGTTATTAATTGTAGTAGGCTAAAAAAATGACCGCCCAAAAGATATACAAGTCCTAGTCATGAAACCTATGGATGTTAACTTATTTGTCAAAAAAGGATGTTGTAGATGTGATTAAGTTAAGGATTTTGAAATGGACAGATTATTCTGGTTTATCCTGGTGAGTCCAGATGCGATCATATACACCTTTAAAAGAGGGAAACAGAGGAGGCATTATAATCATGAACTCAGAGATGGGATTGGTGTGGCCACAAACCAAGGAATGCTGGCAGCCTTCTGATGCTAAAAGAGGCAAGGAGTGGGTTCTTCCCTAGAGCCTCTGGAGGAAGGTGGCCTTGCCATCAACTTAATTTTGATCCAGTACACTGATTTTGGACTATTTTACTCTATAAATATAGAGAATAAATTTATGTTTATTAAGCCACAGAGTTTGTAGTTATTTGTTATAGTAGCCATAGGAAACTAATAAATTACTTTTCTCCATCTTTAATTTTTAAATGTAATATGTCTTCATCAAAGTACAAAACAAAAGGAGTATCTAAAATGTCTAAATAGACATTTATCATGATTTAATTCCTTCTACTCTCTCCCCCCACTCAAGTTCCCAGATTTTTGCCTGAAATGTTTCAGAACTATATTTATAGCTATTTTATAAACATTTTCTTTTTGCTTATCAGAGCTTTTATTATTTAATCCCCTTTCCTCTTTTTTAGTTTTTAATTTTGAGACAATTCTCAATCAGCAAAATATTTCCTCAAGTAAGATTTTTCAGGAGAGTATATAATGTTATATTTTCTTCTCTCTTATATATCTAAGAAAATTATTCTGTGCCTTGGCACAGAAATGGTATTTACAAAATTCTTGGATCATAATTTTTTATTTCAAAACTCTGAACATGTTTTTATACTGTTTCTGGCATTTGTTATTGAGAAAAAGAGGCATGACAATTTGAGAGGATTTCTTTTATATAGCCTTTAAATATATATATATTTTTAACCCAGTAGATATTTGACGACTCCTGAAATTAAGTGCTCCTTTTGAGTGTGTCTCAAAGTAGATCTCCTGTTATTAATGTTACCTCTTCCTCTGCACACTTTTATTGTGACCTTTCTTCCTGTTCCAAACTCCGAACTTGTGTCAGCTACCTCACTCAACTGCAGATGGCCACAATTTTTAAAACCTGTTCCCCACGACATTGCCCCTCATAGGGTTCTGCCCTTGGGAACTCTTTTTCACATCCTTCTCTGACGCCACCTCCTCATCATGTGAGGCCAACTTTAACTAATTTGATCATACGTAAAATTCCAGGTTTCCTTTAAGGAGACCGTTGTCTGATTTTTTTTAAGTATGGCCATAATTTTTCTCTCTGTCTCTACTCTATATCAACTTTTTTATCAAAAGGAGAATTTCTTCTTATGCTCCTCAGGGAGCCATCAGAACCCCACCTCTGTGGCACCTTCCACATTAGTGTTGGCACACATTTGTGGTTTTCTTACAGAAATAAAGATGATAAAGGACAACAGTACAATTGGTTGTAATTTGTCTGAACCAGGGAAAGGATGAAAAATGTACAAATTCAGGCAAGAGTTACTGCCAAAGTCATGTTATTTCTGTTTCATTTTAGAAGAAATTCAGATGCTCCCCCCTTAGATATCAGTCTTCAAGTTATTCTTCTACCCACTTGGGATCTGGCTCGAAGGTTACAAAGGAGACATATATCTAGACTTGGTAGGAATGAGGCTCAAAGTTACGTGAAAAATTTCCACCTTTCAGAGTTATTTCATTTAATTACAGTCTGAGTATGCTCTTCACATAAGAGATACTAACCTCTCCTATCCCAATTTCCTTCTCTGCAAAGTATGCAAATAACACTGTACACAGGATAATTAAAGGGCATGGGGAAGGTTAATAACAGAGATGGTGGGAAGGAGGAAGAGGAGACTCAAAGACTGACCCTCCTGAACAGCTCTGCTGGAGAAGTCGCTGAGGAAGGGGCGCTCTGAGCCAACACAGATGGTAATAAATGATTCCCAACAGTACACGTGCTCCCTGCGGCCAGACCCCTTCTATCGCCTCAACAACTCACACTGGAAAAAGGCAAATTAACTTTTGTTTCTAATTATTCTGGAATGTCAATTGTGGCAGAGAAAATTGGTTTAGCTTTTAAATTCAATTACAAACAAATGTACCACGCAAATGTCAAGAGGGACTGGTCTTGAAATGTGGAGTCTCCAAGAAGCCAAGTGACCGAGTGAGCGAGTGAGAGTGGGAAGCATTCTCACCTACCATCAGGAGCGATGCAAATTCCAGCACCGAAACAGCAATCTGCTTCCTGACGAAGGGAATCCATCATTCCTCGACCTAACCCAAACCTCATCTCTCCCTTGGTTCAAAATAGCACAAAACACTCTTCTGTCCATTATGTGCATTTCCTTCCCTTCTCATGAACCTCCTCTCATTTCTGTCTTCAGGTCGTGCTGCTCTATGCCTCTACCTATGTCCTGGTGTCCCTCAGCATAGACAGATACCATGCCATCGTCTATCCCATGAAGTTCCTACAAGGAGGTGAGCTGCCTTGACCAAGTGCTACGCCATAAGAATCATCATTGGGTGAGGGTGGGACTGTTTTCACTAATATTATCTTCTTAAAAATGGCTCTCTTCTTCCCCCTTATTTCTCCTCCTGAACTTCCTTCCCCTCTCTGTAGACCTGATTATCCAAAAAGATGTAGAAAAGAAAGCAGGATGCCTGGGAAAATGCTAATGGTTTCCTGGATGGCCAAGAGTCACTAGGGAGGGAATTTTGCTGGGCCCACACCTTGACACTAAATGCATCCAGCTGCTCCCTTTAGAAGAGTGCTGACACACACACATACACGCACACACACACACACCTATCCAAAGCAATGAACACTCCCACTTCAACTTGCTCATTTCCCAGAAACAAAAGCCTTACTTACCCCAAATCCATAGAAATAATTGGAAAGATGTTTTAATTGATAATCATATTGGAAATAAGGAAAAATCTTCCTTGGTCCAGTGATGGTGAGTCTTCCCTGAAAGAAGGAGCAGATGGATCAGAGGGAAGGCTGAAGCCACAGAGCTCACAATATTCCCAGCTGACACTGCAGCAATGAGGGGAAGTGGGGACTGCTTTCTAAATGAATGCCCAGGAAACTGGCAGAGTGAGTCCGGGACAACAGCACTGGGGTTAGTAACAGCAGGCCTCCCTTCCCCTGCCCTCCACCTCCCAGAGTAACGGGGGTGCTGGAACTGAAGGGACAGAGTGCCGTCCGGGAAGTAGTGATGGAGGAATGGTGGGAGCCTCATCATGGGACTGACTGTCCATCACTCTGTCCGTGGGCAGAGCCCACTCTCCTTGGCAAGCCCTGAAAGCAAGTAAGAGCCAATGTTTCGTGACCGGTACTACATTCTCCCAAGCAGAGTGTGAAAACTGATATAATGAAGAACTGATAACATGAAAGCTTGATTACAAAGATGAGGTGCAATCAGATATCATAAAAATATGTGACAAAAGCCAAACTGTGGAAAATAGATAATACTTTAAAATGCCATCCCACAGAACTTACACCTAAATAAGCAAAATTAACAAAGCAAGCAAAACTTCACAATACACAGGATTAATGTCATCTGATACAATTGAATAAATCAGATAGCATTGGCACAGTACTTTGCATGGCAAGTTAATAATACCTTTTAATAGAGAACATATATAGTTCTTTGATGTGGAAATTCTACTTCTTGGTATCTTCTCTGAACAAACACCCACATGTATGCATGTACGCTCATGCACTGTGCATTGTAACATCACCCAGAATAGCAGGAATTCAATGCTAACCTTGGTATTCCTCAATGGAGGAATGGCTAATTATCCTATGAAGTTTCAGTAGCTTACGTTTATCACGTACTATATGCCATTCATGATTCAAAGCTTTTTTGTGCATGTTAATCCTCACAACAGCTCTGTGAGGTAGGCCCTATTATTATCTGCATCTTACAGTCTGGGCAATTGCAGTTCAGAGAGTTAAGGTAACTTTCCCAAGGTCACACAGCTCATAGGTGGAGTGGCAAGATTTGCACCCAGATGGTCTGGGCCCAGCGCAAGTGCCCTTGTCTATTACATATCCTGCCTCTCAGTGAGGAGGTAGTATAGCCATAGACAGTAATATAGATCGACATGAAAATATCTACATCATATTTTGAGTGATAATAACAACATGTGCAATAATCCATGTACTAAAACATTAATGTAAAGAAAAAACTCAAAACAATGCTAGATGTTGTTTTGTGTACAAAGAGAGAGAAAGAGAAGAAGAGCAGGAGAGAATACAAGAGAGAGGAAGGTTCTAGAATAATTAACAATTGCTTGCAAGGACCGACCAGCCTGTCCTCACTCTGGGGATTGGAGCTGGACTAGCCGTAGTAACCATGGGAACTTCCAGGCAAAAAGGTAATTTATATACCAGAAACACATCGATGTGTTGTGTGCAATTAAAAGTGATTCAAAAATATAATTTACACCTGTTCCTTAGGCTTTTTCTAGGTTGTTGTTTTGCTTTTTGTTTCTGTGAAGGTCTGCATCAAGCACCAAGCTTTCTGGGCACCGTCATGCCCTGGTGATTATGATAGAAAAGGGATGGGATGAGGGGACATGGGAGAGACATACTGTGAAGTAAGTATGCAAAGGTGTGATGCACTTATTCATCCATCTATTTATCTACTCCCAGCAGGCTCCAGGAAAAACTGAACGCAGTGTAGAAAAAGATAACTACACCAGAGCATTTTAAGGTACAGAAAATAGGAGTGAAGAGAAAATTAGTATAAGAAAATGTGTGAGGGGTATCTCAGGACAGTTGCTGCAGATGGAGACTCTGGGATCCATAGCGAAGAGGGAAACATGGTCAGTTACATGTCTCACTATACTCATTAGGCTAAAAAAAAAGAATCAACTGTTTAGCTCATGGCAAATATGACTGGTTCCAGGAGACCCCGTGCAATGTGATGAACAGTGTGCTAAATTACAGGAAAGGCAGCAATGAATATTACAGTGTTCTTTGAAAGATATAAAGTAATGTATGTCCTCACTATGAAATTAATAGAGGATCAATGTAGGTACGGCACTTAGAAAAACATCATCTCCAATAGCTTCCGAGAAAGATGAAAGACTGGAAACACATTAACCATTTCCCCTTCCTCTGCCCAATCCCAGCTGAAGTCGTGGAGGAAACATGAATAGGGGTGATGTGCAGCTAGGAAGAGAGCGAAGGAAAGAGGCCACCCAGATCCCCACAGATGCCAAGCCCCCTGGGAAAGGTGCACAGCCTTGTAGGAAGTGGAAACGATCCTGAAAGCTCCAGGGTGAGGAAGGAGGTGAAAGAGGGCTTGTGAGGGATCAAGGGAGCCCTGGGCTGGCATCGTCTTGGTGCTGCAGCTCACCGGACTTGAAGGGCAGCTGTGAGGAGCAAGGTGCGGGGCTTATGCCGCCAAGCTAAGAGAAGGCGAGGAAGAGAGATTTCCCGCGGCACAGCGATGGTCTTCGGTGGAGGACGGAGCACCCGGAATTCCGGTGGGGTTCAATGCCGCTGAGCAGGCGCAGGGCAAAGGCAACTCATCCACAGGAAGGGGAGGAGGAGGGGAGCCGCCTTCTACGGCTTTGTTAAGTACTTAAAGTAGTAGCTTCCTTAGCCATCAGAGCCAGAGAAGTTGACAATTCTAAGGCTCTTTAGGAAAAATAAACATAAGAATTATTAGGAAAACATCTACTTATAATGAGAGAGATATGTAGTGCCAGATATTAAAACATAGTATAAAACTTTGATAATTCACACAATATGACAGTAAAACCAGAATAACCTAAGTAAAGCATATGGAATACCAAATCAGCTGGGAAAGAATGAATTAGTCAGTACATGGTGTTAGACTAGCTGTCTAACCATTTGAAAAAAATAGATTACCATCTGTCATGGCTAATTTCAAAGTAAATTCCAGTTGGACTCAAAAAGTAAACATTTTAAACATGAAAGATATGGGTATGGGAAAAACATTTATAATTTTGGTGAAGGAAAGAGCTTTCCAGGAATAACACCAAATATAGAAACAATGGGAAAGAAGTTTTTATTACTTCAAATTTTTAAAACTCTTTATACAAACAATGAACATTGTAAACATACTTAACAAGCAAAATGACAAATAGGAAATACTTGTGCAGAACAGACAAAGAGCTAATAAACTCCTTATCAGAACCCCCGGCAAAGAAATAAGAACATATCAGCTGAAAGAGTAGGCAAAGAACATGAACAAATTAGGAAATGAAGAGACACAAATGAATGGATGACAGATAGAAGTGTTCCTTTTGACTGCTAAATGGAGAACTTCAAGATTAAACATTTGTACAGGAAATCTTACCCACCGGGTAACAGGATGAAGAGGAAGAATCCTCTCAGCGTTGGGAGAATAGAAGGAAACTGGGCACTTACGTACACTTCCAGTGGGAACTATAAACTGTAGCCACTTTGGGGGAAATTTAACAATACTTTGCCAAAATTTTGTTTCTTAGTGCTCATCCTGAGAAAATAATCAAAGCATTGCAAAGGTATATATATGAATAAGTTTGGTATAACTATAAAGAAAATGTTATTTTATTGGTGCTTTACAAATTGACCTCACATACTGGCTCCAGAGGGTTCATTTCGTGGACCTGCTCTGGGGCAAGTTTGGAAGGTGCTGGCTGTCAGTCCATCCTCAACCTGAGCTATGTGGGCTTCCTGCACTCAGCTGAAGATAAAATTATATTTGAAGACTTTTACTACCTGAAAAATTCTGAATGCCACTTGTACAGCTGTAAAAATGAAAAAAAAATGGTCATATTTTTTCCAGAGAAAAAAATTAGGTTGCAAAACTGCATATGCCATCTTTGTATACGTAATCTATTAGTCATATATGAATGCATCATCAAAATTAAAAATTTAAATTGGCTGTTTCTGGGTGGTGCCAGTGTACTGCAAGAAGGACGCCAGACAGACCAAAAGCCCCAGCCTGGCCGTGAGGATGGACAGGGTAAACAGAGACAGGCATTTGCACAACGACCTGTCATGTGTGTATGGTACAATCTATACATGGTACAAACTATGCTACAAACTATACTGAGCTCCAAACTACAGGAATGGATTCATTAACATATGAGGTCAGGTGGATAAACCAGAGAAGGAGAAAGCAAGTAGAAATTGTGAGGCACTGACCTCACACCAGGCAGTGCGCAAGCATTCCCTCTCTAGTCCTTGCACCAGCCCTCAGTGCTGGGCCTATTATTCCCATTTTATACTAGAGGAAGCTGAGGCTCTAAGAGTCCCTCTACACAGCGATCATTTTCTACACTATTCCTAGGGTGTTTCCAGATGCCCAGGCATCCCTTTCTTTCCTTTGAACAGAAAAGCAAGCCAAAGTCCTCATCATGATTGCCTGGACTCTCTCCTTCCTGTTCTCCATTCCCACCCTGATCATATTTGGGAAGAGGAAACTCTCCAACGGTGAGGTGCAGTGCTGGGCCCTGTGGCCTGATGACTCCTACTGGACTCCGTACATGACCATTGTGGCCTTTCTGGTGTACTTCATCCCTCTGGCAATTATCAGGTAAGAAGCCAGCAAGCCAGACCCACACAGGGCTTTCCTGGCTTGGCAGCAGCTTCTCTCCTCCACTGCAGGGCACTCACTGCTCCTGGGTCCTTGGGGGAACTGGGCAGGCCACGAGATTTTACCTAAAGCTGCCGAGTGCTGAGCTCAAGTCCTCCAGAGAAGAAGGAGGGAGAAGGAGGAGGGAACTAACATTTTCTGAGTGTGCTCTAGGGGGTGGGCATGCTAAGTGGCTAATACGTGAAATAACTACTAACGTCCCCATTTTATGAATGATAAAACTCAAGCTCAGAGAAATGACCTACTTAACCTCACACAGGATTTAAGCCTACATTTGTCTGATTTCATACCCTGTTCTTTCTCCTGTATCATGCAGCTTTTCAAATATAAGAAACATACCAGTTTGAGAGGTCTTACAATTGAATAGGTAGACATACTTTATCTGAAACTGAACAGAAAAAGCAATACACACAAGAAATACGCTAGAGTGTATGTGCGCACAGTGAGGTAGGGTAATGGCGGGGAACACTTCTTGATACCAGTTTGAGAGGTCTTACAATTGAATAGGTAGACATACTTTATCTGAAACTGAACAGAAAAAGCAATACACACAAGAAATACGCTAGAGTGTATGTGCGCACAGTGAGGTAGGGTAATGGCGGGGAACACTTCTTGGCAGCCACCATTGAAGGAGGTTTTAATTTGCATTTCTTTCATCACAAATGAGGTTAAACACACTTTATTATCATTTTTGCTTTTCAAATAAATTAGCTACTCATACTCTTTTACCCATGTTTCTCTATTTTTATTTTCTTTATTCTCTATCTTTAGCACTCCTTTTTATATAATAAACTTCCTATTTTAAATGTTGAGGATATTTCCCTAGTTTGGCATCTGCTTTTCCAGTTTAAATCTGTTTTTATTTTTGCATTCAGTTATTAAGACTGACATAATTAAGGAAAAGAGAGAAAGCATGAATAATTAAAATTAGAATTGAGAAAGTCAGATGACTAGATTTTAAAAGTTAAAAGAATAATAGGAAAGCACTTTGCAAAACCTTATATAAATTCATGTGAAAATATGAAAGACATGTATATAGCTTTTCTGTAACATGCAGGTATTTGATATTTTAATATATTCACATCTACTCATGCTTCTCTTTACATTTTTGCATTTCATTTTTCTTAGGAAATTGTCCCTGCCATATACTAATCAAAACTTTGACTTACCTTTTTTATGATTTGTTATTTTAATTATTTGAAAAAATTTCAGCATTGAGCACATTAAAAATATCACTTTAAAAATATATTTGATGATTTATTTCCAATTGTCCTAATACCATTTACTTGTGATATTGGATATGAATTTAAGATCTAAGTTAAATTTGTTTTTTTAATGCTGTGTCTTTTGTCCCAACATTACTTACTAAATAATCTATCTCTTCTCTATGGTATGAAATGGCAATTCTATCAGATGCATATTTATATTATAAATATTCTTGTCACCTTATTTTGTTCTTATTTTCTCTGTTCTCTACATTTAGAGAGTAACCTTTTTCTTTTTTTATATTTCGAAAATATTTCCCTGGTTTGTCATTTGCTTCTTCATTTTGAGTATGGTTTTATTTGTTTTCAGTTAATAGCAAATAGTGATTGAATAATAAGAAAAGGAGAGAACACACAAATAACCTAATTTGTTAGTGGCTCTTCTGGCACTAACACTATGCTGGTTAATTATTGTAACCTTACATACATTAATATCTGCTAGGACAAGATCGCTTGTCTTTTTCAAAGATTCCCTGGCTCTTCCAGGGAAAGCTGCTGACACTCTCCTTGCATTTCCTACAACGGCCATAACAAACCATTTGTTGTTTCCAGGATGCCCTATACTCCTGCCACCTCTGTGCCTTTGTACACATATTCCCTATGCCTCAACATGCCTCCAAACTCACCTGGCCTTGCTTCTAGCAAATTAGTTCACACTCTTCATTTCTCATTTCAAATACTAACTCTACGTGGAGCTGCCCCTGACAGTTCCAGGCCAAGGAAAGATCCCAGTGTCAGGCCCTAACTTCCAGCCTCAGCTTGTCCTTGTCCCCATTAATGCTTCCTAGTAGTATAATAGCCTACTTTTGCACCTCTTCTTTCTTGAGTACAGGAACTGTTCCAAATCTGGCACACAATGGACACTTCTTGAATGTTGGACTGACTGATAAATTTCACCAATCAAAGGAGAGAGGTGCCATGACTCTCTGACCCACACACATACATGCTCCCCTAATATGGGTATTTCTGGCCAATTAGTGCCTAAATCAGTTTCTGGCTTATGTTAGGTCTTCCATAAATATATGTGAAAGGAAAGAAGGAAGGGTGGAAGGAAAGAAGGGAGGGAAAAAGGCTAAGAGGGAAGCAAAGAGAGAGGAAGGAAGGAGTTGTGTTGTCTGGGGCAGACTCCCATGAGAGCTGTGTGGGAATAAAGATTTTGCTGTTCCATCATCAGTTAAATTTGGGTCCCAGAACTTGAAACCATAGTGACTGTCAGTAAAAGCAATACGTTGTTTTTCTGGGTCAACACAACTTATGTTGTTTCGAAATTCACTTGACATAACTGTCTAACTGTTAGCCCTGGTGTCATTGCTTACTTTGATTGTGGTTATTTTCTTGCTACCTAATTGATTTCTCATTCTCCTATCATTGTTATCTCTGTGAGACAGACGGGGAGGTATAAAAAAATCTATGGTCAACAGTTGCTAAAGAATAAGTGGAAAAAAGCATGCTTGTCATAGAGCACTGATTTACGTTATATGAAAAAATCCATTTACTTTGCTTAGGGAATGGGGATCAGACCTTGGAAAGCTCCAGGCTGAGACTGGTACTGTCTGTGGAGTACAAGGCCACGGTGTGTCCGAGGCCAGGGAGGATGACTCGAATCAGTAAAGGAGGTGACATCCTATATATTGTTACCTGAGAGGTGGCAAGAGTTACGTCTTTTAAAAAAGCCATCCTCACTTGTTTGCTAAATTATGCTAGATGTTTGTGATTGGATTTCCAATATCCATTACACTCTGAGTCCATCATGGCATCCTCAAGCCTCAGCATGCCAGTGGCTCAGGAAGGTCCACATGATCTAATTCTAGCCAATGAGATGGGAGGAAGTGTCTTCTGAGGAGCTTTTGAAAAATTCCCCATTTGTAGGAGAAAAGGCAGAAGAGGTTGGCTTCTCATGTTTTGTGGACCTTGCTGTCCCTGGACTGACCCCTGAAACTGCTGTAGCCTGATTTATGAAAACATCTATGCTGAAAAAAAAAGAGAAAGGACTGAAAGGACTCAGATTTCTGAACTTCATCTTTGACCCTTTAAATTTGCAATTACGGGAGATAAATATTCTAATTGCTTAGATCAATTTGAGTTGGGCTTACTGTAACTTTCTACAAAAAACTTTCTACAGAAATCCTGGCTGATTGTCAACTGTCCATACTTACTGGTTCTAGACATCAGTGAATTCATTGGAACTACTTAAGTCATCAGAGTGAATTCTTCTTCTGGACCTTTAGGAAATCGCAGTGTGAGAAGTGCTATGGTAGCATAAATAGATAGTCCTAGGGGCCCCACAGCAGAGGGTCTGGAATCAAAGAAGGTATTCAGGAAGATTATGGCAATATTCAGGCAGGAGATTATCAGAGGTGCCTGCTTCAACAGCACAAATACTAAAATTGGCATAATACAGAGATTAGCATCGCCCCTGCATAAGGATGTCACATACTTGTGAAGTCTTCCATACTTTTGTGTTTAATGAGTATACAGTTTCAGCTGGGGGAGATGAAAAAGAGATGGATAGTGGTAATGGTTGCATAGCAACATGACTACTTAATGCCACTGAACTATATGTTAAAAAATGGTTTAAATGGCAAATTATATGTCATGCTATATTATTAAAAGGTCATCAAAACATAAAAAAGAGATGGTAAAGGTCTGAAGTTATGCTGAAAAGCAGGAAAATACAGATTAAGGAGATTTTGAAGAGACAATCCACAAAACTTGCTGATTAATTAGGTGAAAGAAATGAGGGTGAAGAAAGAGACAAATAAAATTCAGAGGTCTCTCTGATGCATAACTGTCACACTCTGAGAAGTGGCCTGATCGGGGTAATGAAAAAAGCAGACACTCTTCTTCCAGGGAGTTTTCCCAGCTAATGGTAAAGCTGGTACCAGCTTTCCACTTACCTGATGGGCCCTGAAGAGACTAGGTGGGAGTGACTCAGGCCCAAACCAATAACACATGAGCTGTTCCTTAATATTTCATTGTGTATATGGTTGATGGTCAATAAATATTTGAATTATTGATCAATTAAGCTCTGGGGTTGCAATTGTAACACACAATTAATGCTTCATGCTGGCTGTAACCTTCCCTTGAGTTTTCATTTACCTGGGGAAAAAATAAATAAATACTCAGCTTACAGTGAAGAATCGACTCACTAGTCATTTTTTCTTCATTTTTTCTTTAATGTAGACAAATTCCAGAAAAGTCCCTGGATAGGCAAATGAGAAAGAATGGGTCTGCTCCCAGAAGTCCCGCAGCTTACCTGGTGCACTCGGGGGTTTCCTGAGCAAGAATGGGAAAAGCAATAAGGAGCAGAAGGTTTTAACACAGTCATTAATTAAGTTATGGTCTGAAGATCATTAAAAGCAATTAGTGCTTTGTCAGCTACTGCAGACGAGAGCTCTGATTTTTTTTTTTAACTGGTGATTCTCAAGAGGGAAGCTTGTGCAGTTTTAAAATAGAACAGTGTTTTGTCCCAAAGTTTTTTAGAAATGCCAAATAACGAATTAAAGAAGGGTGTAAATTTTTATACTTATCAAAAGAGATGAAGGATACAAAATTTGATGAAGCTTTTGAATCATTAACACTTGGTTTTCCAGTTAGGCAGATTATATCATGCAAGAGTAGATGTGCTATTGTGTGAAAAATGGGGAAGAAAATGACATTTATTGAGTCTCTGCTAATTTTCAGGCATGCACTTGGCACTTTAAGTGTTGTGACACTTGATCCCTAAAATACTCTGAAGAGGTCTATATTATTAACTCCATTTTACAGTTTCAACTAAGGCCTGGTATGTTAGCCTGTTTGGGCTGCTGTAACAAAATATCACAGACGAGTTGACTTATAAATACAATAAATTTATTTCTCCCAGTCTAAGGCTGGAAGTCCAAGATCTGGGTGCCACAAGATCAAGTGAAGGCCCTCTTCCAGTTTTCTGACTTCTTGCTCTGCCCCTACATGGTGAAAGGAATGAGGGATCTCTGTGGGGTCTCTTGTAAGAGCATTGATCCCATTCATGAGGGTTTTGCACTTATGACCTAATCACTCCTGAAAGGTCCACCTCCTAATCCCATCACATGGTCATGAGGATTTCAACATACACATTTGGGGCAGCACAGACACCCAGGCTGCATCTCTTGGTATATTAATCTATTGCTGGGTAACAAACTATCATGAACCTGGTGGCTTAAAACAACATACATTTACTATTGCACAGTTTCCTGGGTTCAGGAGTCTGGACATGGCTTAACTGGGTCCCCTGCTTAGGCAAGATGGCCATCAAAGTGTCTGCCGGGACAGGTGTCATCAGAGGCTCAACTGGGGAAGGCTGTTATTCCAAGCTACTGTGAGTTTTTGATAACATTATTTTCTGGGGCTGTAGGACTCATGGCAGCCTGCTTCAAATCCAGGACCATAGAAGGACAAAAGCAAGACAAGTGCTACACTATTCTGCAATCACAGACATCTCATCACTGTCACCCCAGTGCATTGATTAGAGGCAAGTCACAGTTCCTGGCACACTCAAGGGCAGAGGATCACTTAATGGCATGAACACCAGAGGCAGGAAACATTGAAGACTATCGAAAGTCAAGGTCATATAATCAACAAGTGGTCTTAACATTTCTGACCTGAAATCCTGTGTTTGGATCCTAATCTCAGCTATATCTTTAAACATCTAAGTTATCTTGGAGAATCATATTACTTCACCATGTCCTAGCCCCCTTGCTTAAAAAAGAAGCAGCTGCTATCTGCTATGATTCTAGCATTGGCAAATGGAACAAGCAGAGGTGAAGGACTGACTCCATGCTTCATATTCAGAGAACCGGAGTGGTCCTCTCTCCGTGTTCCCAGAGTAGGGAACCACCAGCTGTTTAATATTACCTTTGGCTTTTTCTGCAGTGTCATCTATGCCATTGTGATCCGAACTATTTGGACTAAAAGCAAAGCGCATGACATGGTGATTTCCAACTGCTCAGGTAAGACACTAATCTGTATCAACCAACTCTTGGCTAATTTGCTTTTGTAGAGGCTTGCAAATGAAAATGAGTTTGGCTTTTTCTGGCTAGAACAAGCCTGTGCTGTCTATCAGAGCCCTGGCAGACCACACTGTCCAAAGGCTGTCCCCAGCAGGCTCTACCTTCTGCACTGGCCTCCCTGACAACCAGGGGAAGGGAGGAGGACTTCGGACCTGGTCACACTGTGCCAGCAGAGTCCATCAGAGCAGCCTCTGAGCCAGAACCCAAGGTCACCCAGTCTCTCAGGCCTGGCCAAGAAGCTCCATGGAGGACACTTGGATGACAAGAGGGAACTGTCCAAGGAGACCACCACACATTCAGCAAAAGATGAGGCAGACCTTTCTATTTAGTTTGAATTTATAGATGGAGGAAACTGCCATCTATCCATGCAACAATCCTAGACCCTGAGTCAGTCAAAGCATGGTCCAGCTTTCCCCACCGTCCTAATTCACACCAGAACCAGCCTGAGATCACATGTTAGAACGCTTTCCCAAATTCCGCTGCAGTAAAGCTGAATGTAGAGCACCTCCCACATGTGGGCAGCCGCTGAGACTTGCAGGCCTTCTCTGCACCCAGGCAAACATTGCTGGACCTGACTGAGGCTAACCCAGACAGAACACAGCAAATCAAGTGCCAGAAAGAGAAGAGAAAGGACTCTGGTTTTCTATTTATTATAATATGACTGATTCTGTAGGAAGAGACCAGCTTTGCTCAGGCTCCATGCCTCCTCTCCTTCCTTAAATACACACAATACTGGCCCACATACATAAATGCACATATTTGCACACCCAGTCTCTCACACACACCCATACACACAGACACACATTCAGATGCAGGCACATACCCATACTCATCCACATGCATACACATGAGGGCAGCAAGGTGTTACAGATCCCTGAAAGAAGAAGAGCTTGTTTCTGTTCCAAACATTCCACTAAGAGCTGTGCCACCTTGCACAGTCATTTAACCTCTCTGAACTCCAAGAGGTTAAAATGAAGAGACATACTAGAGTCCCTCTAAGTACCCCCTTTTCAAACTTGGAACTAATACCTTTAATGGACCAACACCAAGATGGTTTTCCTTGAAGCTACTTCTTCCAGGGTGACTGGGAGAAATCACAGTGATTCACAAGAATTAGTGGGCACTGGTAATCTATGCCCCTTTCTCTAGGAGAATTTGTTGAGTTGTATAAGTCTCAGTATCTTCATCGGAATTCAGTTCACTGCTGCTGTGTCAGCAGTGGTGCAAGGGACTGGGAATGCAAGGAATAACAGCTTGGCTCCTGACTAGAGGAAGCCTACACTCTCATGCACTGGGTCTCTTCTCTGGCTGCCTGAGAGCACTGCCTGGTAAGCTTTTCAAATGCAATAATACCTGGACTCCACTGTCTGACATGATCAGAATCAGATTCATTCTGTCTGGACTGGGGTCTGGGCATCATTCCTTTTGAATAGCTCTTCAGATGATTTGAATGTGCAACCAGGTTCAACGACCTCTGGTCCAGTAGGAGACACAGTGTTAGTCAGCTGACTTCTTCACTGAGAGACAAAAAATAATCCAGAGATGTGCACAGGCTGCTCAGAAATTTTCCACCCATGAAATGCCTATCACTGAAACACATTAAGTACTCTAATTTTTGTTAGAACACCCAAACTTGGGATCTGTAGTGTGCTTCTCTTCCACCACACTCCCTCTAGAGTTCTGCCTTCAGACATTACTCGAGTCTCATCTCTTGAAGTGTTTTGTTTTGATGTATTTAAAATCTAAAAGATGACCACTAGTGGTAAGTGCAAGGCCCAGTTTGCTTTCGGTAGGCTGATGTCTTCCTGTACTTTCAGATTTAAATCATCCTGGTCCAAACCCCTGTCAGGATTTTTGCCAGTTCCAGAAGGTGGTACATCTTCCCTGCCTGTCCCTCTGAGCTCTCACTCTCCCTGTCTCACCTCCTATGGCCTTTCTGTTCTCTCTGCTGCCAGTCCAATGAGACATGGAATACCCATCAATTTCCCTGACTTCATCATTCTCAGGCATGAATATAGCAAATGTTGCTGGAGGTTTGAGGTGATCAAATGTTACTACATTCTGTCAGCTACGCCACCCTCTAAGGGATCTCCCACCCTGCTTTTTCAGCAGGCCCCCTGTGATTGGGCCCCTATCTCTCTCCAGAGTTCTTCAAATCTCCCAGCTACCAGATTTTTCAGTATGCACACTCTTGGGTTCCCCACCCCCCAGTCTCTAAAATAGTGCAGATTATTTTTTGTCTCTCAGTGAAGAAGTCAGCTGACTAACACTGTGTCTCCTACTGGACCAGAGGTCGTTGAACCTGGTTGCACATTCAAATCATCTGAAGAGCTATTCAAAAGGAATGATGCCCAGACCCCAGTCCAGAATGAATCTGATTCTGATCATGTCAGACAGTGGAGTCCAGGTATTATTGCAGTAGTGCAGAGCTGCAGCCCCCAGTTTCTAAAATAGAGACCTGAGTTCCCACTGGTGTGCGGCATGCCATCACCCCTCCCCACAGGTGGAAATGGCTACAGTCAGTTTTTATTCTTATATGCAACTTCCTATCTCCATTATACCTATTTTTTTTAGTTGTCTATACCTTTGTATCACCATCAGTGACCCCCTTCTGGAATGAGGGGCAGATGGTAGTCTCAAAAGCCCATAAATTCTCTGTATCTTGCTCATAAATGGGACTCACTTGGTTTTCTATCTGTTTTCACAGCCAAGCTGCTCGGGATTTGGCTGGTAAATAGGATCTCCAGTGGTGTTAGCATGCCAGGATTATTGCTCATCAACAAGGGGACAACAGCAATGACTAGTGTGAACAGAAGCCCACTTGGTAAACATGGGCTGCAAAATGCAAACCATCATTATTTTAAGAATCACCCTTCTTGCTGGCAAATATGTCCATTTACTCTCCTTCAAAGGCTGACAGGAAAAAAAAGAAAAAGAACTATTTAAAAATTATCTGAAGACTTTGCCATAAACAAGTGTGGAACATGAGAGTCAGAGGAGATGAGGTTTCCAGTCTCGCAGGTTTTCTATCACAAAGGAGCATGCTCTTGATTCCCAGGGGCACCTATCTACTCCTATAAAATAGAGCATTTCCTGCATAGGTGCAGAAGATGGGAGAGGCGCATCCATGGAACAAAGTATGAAATATCTAGATAAAATTGCATTTGGCCATTACAGCTTAGATGTGATGTTATCCATGCTATATCTATACTGCATGTTTATTAAATGAAATAGAATGAAGTGGAGGAAAAAGCTCTGGATTACATGATGAACTGGGTTATAGTCCAATTCACTTTTGGCTGCATGAACTTAAGCCCATTAACTTGCTCTCAGGGCCTTTCTTCATCAGTACATGTGGGTAAAATAGCTTCTCTGCAAATAACTACATTTAGCAAAAGACATAGAGAAATTTATGGGAAAATACAAAGATATAAATAAATGAAGTTTGTGATGTGTTTGTGGATGCTAAGATTCATCACCAAAAAGGTGCTGACTCTCCCAAACTGATCTACAGGTTAATGCAATTCATATTGAAATTGAAATTTGATATTTTACTGAGTATGACAAGCCATTTTTAAAATAAACACAGAAATTTCAAGAGACAAGAATAGCCAAGACACTCCTGGAAAAGTCAAACGAGGTAGGGGGTGGGTTATTGTTCTGAATGTTAAGATTTATCATAAAGTCAGAGTGATTAATAGAGTGGTATTGACACAATATAATAGACAAATAGAAAATAAAATACCAAACAGACTTACACATATATGAGAACTTGATATATGACAGATGATAACAGGGAAAGAAATGAAATTGGATCTTTACATCAGTTCATAGGTAAATTCATAAAGAATCCAGGGTGAAATCTTTATGACATTAGGATGTCTTAAACAAGATAGGGGTAAGGTAGGATGTCTTAAACAAGATACAAGATACACTAAGCCATAAAAGAAATGATGGATAAATTAACTCTGTTATATTTAAAGAGTCAAGTCATAAAATGGGAGAAGCTCTTTGCAACATACATGCCTGGGAAAAATTAATATTCAGAATATATGATGAACTCCTAAAAAATCAATACAAAAAGACTTTTTAAGAAAGATAAATGGGAAAAAAATGAGCAAGACATAGAAGGCATTTCACAGAAGGGAAAAGAGGAATGGCCAAAAATAAGATTCTCAAGCCTGTTGATAATCAAGAAAAGTGCACATTTAAGCCTCAGTTATGTTAAAAAGAAACAGGCCCAATATGGAGTCACTTCTGCTGGGCCAAGTTACTAACGGGGGCTTAATAACTAACCTAGTTGTAGTTTCAACCTCCCCCAGAAATGTAGTCACAAATTTTCTTGTCAGCATCAGTAAGATAATCTGTCAGCTAAGGACATAAAATATAAATTAAGCCAGAACGTTTGCCCTTCCCCTGAATTCCCCTTGGCACCAAGATATATCACAATGCACAACCCTTTTTTTAGCATCACATATCTTAGGTAAATGAAATGTATCTCTTTTGAAGTTCTGTCTTTCTTGCCTAAAGGATATAAAACCTTAAAATGACTGTGGCCCCTCAGAACACTCCTTCTGTTAATAGAAGTTACATCTCCCTAGTTCTCAATTTGACTCAAATAAAACTCTGTCTTTTTTTCAAGGTGATTTTAGTGATCTTCTCATCAACAGTTAGATACAATTTTCCACCCACTGGTAATAATTGGTAGAAATTTGAGGGGTAATATTTCTAAGTTTGACAAAAATGTAAAGCTCATGGTTTATTTGGTAGTAAGATTCCTCAAAAACTTAGTAGGCTTCTGACCTATTTGCTGCCAGGCAGTTTAATGTGCCAGCTACCATACCGTTTCTTAATATAATTCTCAGGTCTGACTTGTTTCTTGTTTCCTTACCCATTCCCTGTCTTTCAGTTTAATGAAAGCTAGCTTGAGGCCATCTGAAAAAATAGGTGGGAGGCCACATCCTTAGTCTGATCTTTGCCTCAGTATTGAGTCGTAATGGGTCTTCACTGGTTAGAACTTCTCAGTCTTATAACTACATTTGAGGACCAGAGCCAGTTTATTTGACAAAAGGCTGCACACTTAGAAGATACATACATTTGCTTTAATGCTCTGCATGCATTTTTATGTTGCACTGGCCACACAATGTATGTAGCTGGTGTTAAAAGAAATGGACCTTGCAACTTTACAAAATCCCAAATTGGGGACTTTCTTTATCTTCCTTTCATTTTTGTTCATATAAGCCAACCAACTCATCTGAGTTCATCTCTTTTTTCGAATGCCTTGCTAAGCACATTTGGTAACAATCAACACACACTATTAATGTTTTGTTTACCCAGCTGTGATGGTTAATTTTATATGTCACCTTGACTGGACTAAAGGATACCCAGATAGCTGGCAAAACATTATTCCTGGGTATTACTGGAGGGCATTTCAAGAGGCATTTGAATTAGTAGGGTATGTAAAGAAGATTGTCCTCTACAATGTAGGTAGGCATCATCCCATCTGCTGAGAGCCTGGACAGAATCAAAAGGCAGAGGAAGGGCAAATTTGCCTGAGTTGGGACATCCATCTTCCTGTCCGCAGACATCAGCCAGCCTGATTCTTAGACATATGGACTACGACCAAGATTTTTCACCATTACCTGCCTGATTCTATAGCCTTTGGACTCAGATATACACCATCATCCCCTCTGGTTCTCATGTCTTTGAACTTGGACTGATTTTTCCTGGTTTTCTAGCTTACAGACAGCACACTGTGGGATTTCCCAGCCTCTATGATTGCATGACCCAATTCCTATAATTAATTCCCTCCTATATATGTCAGCATGTATTTCCTATTGCTTCTGCTTCTCCAGAGAGCCCTGACTACTACACTGACAGTCCTCTGGGTTCCAAACTCATCTGATAAAAAGGGAGAGTGGGAAATGTAGTCTCACTCTTCATCTCAGGGGATAAGGCAAGGATTTGAAGGACAGCTACCCTGTCTTTGCCATAATTATTTTAGGCCTATCAGAGTGCCTTGTTTCACCTAATCTGCGTAGCTGAAGAACAGCAAAGGATCTGAATTAAGTGAATTAGATCTGACCTCCTCCTATCTAGTTATGACCTCCAGTTTGTTAGAGGGTCAAAAAAAAAAAAAAACGAGGGAAGGAAGAGTCCCACAGCTAAGCAGGTGAGGCCTCAGGAACTAAACATGTACAGCATTCAGGTTCTATTTTTAGATGAAAGAGCCATCAATGATCAGAAATCACAACGAATTTCAAATTTCAAAAGTTTTAGAAGTCAGGCACAGCTGCTAAAAATGTTTAACTTTTTAAATCAACCTAAAATACATAAAGTTCCCAACAAATGAAAAATAAAATGTTTATTTCAAAATATTACCAGTAAACTTCCTTGTTAATAACCTGCGCTCATTATAGGGCCACAGATGGCTCCCCCAGGGATAACTTCCTGCCAGGAATAAATTGTGCCGCATTTAAAATTCCAAGATACCAATTGCTCCCCCTTCAGGTGCTCAGCCTGTGAGAAGAATAGGTTCCAAGGGGCTCTGCAAGGGCGTGAAGCATGGGAAAGGAAAAGAGCAGGAAATGGCCACTGGGAGACTGAATTTCTAGTGTGGATCCCCACTAGGGAAGCATCCCTGAACTGAAACAGCCGAGGCAGCATGCTGCGTCCAGTCCCGGAATGGACCTGCCGCCTCTAGGCTACCCCTACCGCCTCTAGGCTGAATTTAACTGCTTTCACTCCACCAGTGCTAAGACCTGAGTAGAAATAATTCTTTTACCTTCCAATAAAGAAGAATTACCAGCATTGGTAGCTGAGCTCACTTTGAAGAGCCTTCGTTAGAAGGTGGAGGCTTTGCATTTCCTAGAGTGGTCAGATCAAAGACACTTTGCACTGATCTCATTGGGAGATTGAAGGGTAAGTAGTTGATTATATTGTCACCTCATTACCTGTGAAAAGTACTGTGAGTTTCCATTTTAAACAGATTTCAGAACACAAATGTCATTCTCGAAAACTTTTCTGAGAAGCTAAGTCTTCAGAGCCATACTGTTTAGGAGCCAGCTGTTACTCCAGCAAAGCCGGATACTTTGAAAGGATTTACTTTGTCTGTTGTCTTTTTTATTTGCCTCCCATGGGTATAATCCCACCCTGATAATTTCTGGATGTATATAATTCCTATATACAGATAGCAATATTGTATAATAAACTATCTAAATGTAGGGATACCTTCTGTTCACTTCCATAAAGGCAGCTCATATTCCTCCTGAAACACTATTAAAACCTCATTCATCCCAATAAGGGACTTGACATTCTCAGCATGGGGCTTGGCATTTTTAATACATTTCCCTATTTTAATCCTCAAAATAACTGTGAGTTTGGTGTTTTATGCCTCAATTTTTAAATTGGGAAATTGAGGCTGGGAACTGTACACAATTTGCATAAGGTTACGCACCTAGTAATCTATAGAGCTAGAGGGTGTATTCAGATCTGACCTCGAAGCCTGTGTCTTTCCCAAGATGGGAAAATCGCGGTTTTTCAAACTTGGTGTATTGGTTAATGCTTTGTTTGGGGACGGTCCTGTGTATGGAAGGATGTTTAGCAGCATCCCTGGCCTCCAGCCACTAGGTGGCAGTAGCAATTTCCAAACACGTGTGTTGTGACGACCAAAAATGTGTCTAGACATTACCAAATGTAACCCCAGGGGGCAATACTACCCCCACTGGAGTACCTCAGCTGTAAATGCTTCTGAAGCATTTGCTATCTTACAACACTTAAGATTTGTGGTTCTATGAAATGCACAAAATAATTTGAAGGCCCTAATAGTGCCAGAGGGGCCTTAAAGGGTTTACATTAAGAAATAAAAAATTAGTTATAATTAGCATTTCAGCTCATTGCACATAAAAAGCCTCTTCTTCCTATTATTCCTGATAACCATCCTTTCCAATGAGTATAGGTGAAAACACTCAGAAGCTTCAATGCTTGCAGCTCCCTCAGAAATTCAGCCCAAAACTCCTGGTCTTCCCACTTTGGCCTCCCCATGCTCAAACCCAACATCCTTTTGCACTCCAACCAAGTGAGGTGGTCCAAATGCATCCTTACATTGTCTTATTTCTGTGTCTTGGCTGAGGACAGTCCCTCTGCTTCACATGTCTCCCCCATGCCCATGCCCCCAGGTCCACTTTGGACTCCGTGTATGCCACGCAGCCTCCCTAACATAGCATCAGAGGACAGCTCTCTTCTCCGTTCAGAGCTGGTGTTTGTCTCTCTCATCTCATCTCATCTCATCCAGCCTGTGGAGAGTGTGTGCTCTTTCCTGCTGGATTAGAAATTCCTAGAGAGCAGTAATTCTACTTTAGCCTATTTTGTTCAGTCTTTTTCCTTAGCTGATGGGCTGTAGCTTGTTGGACTGGGCTGAGTTGAACTGGAGAGGGAATAGAATAAATAGTGCAAAGGTAAACTTCAGACCAGTATCCCTGGGTGTAAAATAGATTTCAAGCCTGAAATCCGAACAATGTAGTGGAGACAAGTGAGCATAGCAGTTGGTCTGTAGTATATAATCCACTGCCCCCATATGACTCAGGCACCCTAGGTGGTCCTCTGACCTGGGCCACCAGTAGGATTGTGCCCAATGAGCCCTAATCAATGGCACCTGGCTGAGGGTGCAGGGGGCTACCCATCCTAGTCAACCTTACTTACCCCTACTTCTTAACTAGACAGAGGTTAGTATTAATTCATTCAACAAATATTTAATATTAATCATTCTAAGACTAAATTTAGAGGATACAGGAGTGAAGAAAACAAAGTCCCTGCCTCCATCTAGCTTGTATTCTAGTGGATTCTTATATTTTCCTCCCACGTTTTACCATCAAACAGCAGTCCACATAGGATTGAAGTTATATCCAGGCTCCTCTTTGGGACAGGTTTTTTGGGGTTTGGATTTTGTTTTTGTTTTTTAACATGCCTGCCTTGGCCTTTTGTTGAGAGTGGAGTCTCTGAGTTAAATGAGTGAGTTAGTCTGGGGTAACCATTGTAAGAGGAGGGCTTTGCCCTAGGTTGGGGAAGTGACCAGCTGAGTATCTCAGCATCGCCCCCTGTGGTCACATGGCTAATTCCAGCTTCAGCCGATTCAGGTCACCCAACTGGAGTGTCTTTAGTCTGGATGTCCCAGCGCATTTGCATTTTATATTTAGCTGCAAATTGAGCAGTTTCTGGCATCCAGCACAGGCCATATTTACTCTGAAAATGTGCAAGGATGTTCTCCCGGGCATAGGAGAGCAGGATATAAGGGACCTTATGGTAGCTGTGAGTCTGACCTGCTATGTCCTTACTGGAAGAAACAGCACTCCACCTTCCCCTTTTGTATCCACAGAGGGAAGGCTATGCATCAGCTACAACCGAGGACCCATCTCAAAGGCAAAAATCAAGGCTGTCAAGTACAGCATCGTCATCATTCTCGGTAAGCAGTGACCCTCCTTGTGTGCAGAACTGTGTGAACTTTCCAGAAGTGAGCTTGTCCCTAGGGCCTGGTGGTAGAGAGGTCACACAAGATAGGAATTGGTCCACAGGCACTTCTGCCTTCGATTGAAGAAGAATGTGTGGAACTCCTCAGTTCCTTTGTGGCTCCTACAAAGGCAGACGTTTGGTTTCTAATCCCTCTCTTTAGGAATGTAGTTGCCACCAAGGCCGGGAGGAGGGTAGCTGGGAGAAAGTCTGATAGAACATAACTATCTGGCGCTGATGCTCACCATCACCCAGGTGACCCAAAAGCTTACTTTAAGACATACTCTGCCCCCAAGGCTGAAGTTCATGAACAAAAGGAATACAGAAGTGGCATTCCTTTTTTTTTTTATATTTAATTTCAGGGTCACTGTCAATCCCTCCCTAATGGCCACTTTATCTTCTCTCCTCTCTTCCCATCTCCCCTTTCCTTTTCCTTTCTCTCTACTCTTAAGTCTCATAAAGTCACTTTCTCTTAGGAAAAAAAGAAAAAGTATTTTTAAAGCACCTACCATGTGTCAGATTGGCGTGTCTTCTTTGTTATTCTCAAACGTTCCAAACTTCCTCTGCCTTAAGCTCTCTCAGCCAGTGACCTTGCTTTATATCACAGAAAATACTGTGTCAGAATAGGATGTCCTCATCCTCCCCCCTCTGCATCGGTGACCTATGTGCCAGCCTCCAATCACTGTGGGTAAACTGGCCACATGTTTTTAGAAGCCCTGGATTCCATTCCTTCCTGTTTGCTCAAGAATTTTGTCCCAGTTACCTCCCCAGCACATTTCCCCTTTGACTGGATCACATGAGCAAAAATATACTATAACCACTCCTTCAACAACTCTTCAGTGACAGACTCACTTCACCACTCTTTTCTAGCATGACCCCCCCACTTCTCACCTCCCATTCTCTGGAGCCTATTTCTATTAGTTTTCTTCCCTGTTACTCCAGTGAAACTATGCTGATCAAGGTCACCAACATCTAAAATTCTGAATGTCAATTCTTAATCTTCATCTTGACTCCTAAGCAAACATTTGATCAATCCCTCCCTCTTGGAACACGTCTTTTGCTTAGAAATTATATCTATAACTTCTACATGAAATTGTATCTATAACTTCTTATCACACTCAGCATGTCAAACCAGAGGCATTGGAATGTTCTCCTACCCCTTGCAAAATAACACCCCTGGTGTCCCCATATCAGTAAATGACACCATCTTTCTCCCAGTGTCCACACCAAGAACCTCAGGGTCTTCTGTCTGTCATTATTCTATTTATCTCACATCCCATGGTCTGTACCATCAGCAAAGCTTGGAGGACCTGCCTGCAAAACATCTCAAATCCAGCTACCTCTCACCATCGATACAGCCACTGCCTGGGTCACAGCTTGCACCAGCTTCTGCTTGGAACAGTGCAACTGGGCTTCTGTTACTCATTTTCTGTAAAACAGCCACTGTGATATTTTAAACTGTAAATCAGATATTAACACTACCTTGAAAACCCACCCATGGCTGCCCATTACCTAGTAATAAAACCCTTCCTTTTTTCCATGTCTACAAGGTTTATGAGATGTGTCCCCCAGCCAAATCTCCAGCCTCACTCCCACCACCTCCTCCTTGCTGATTCCATACCATTCACACTGATCTTTTTTGCTATTTCTTCAAAATGTCACCTTGTTTGTACCCCGGGGACCTTGTACAGATGCCCCTACCTGGAGCACTGTGCCTTCGGTTGGTGGGATGGCTTCCTTCCTCCCATGATGTTCTTTCCCAACAATGTGACCCCCTCCAATGCGACCCCCTCCGTAGGGCCTCCTTGGCCAGTCTTAAACAGCCCTCCTCTAGTCTTTACCTGCCTTATTTTCCTTCCTATTCCTATGTCTACCTGACATTATAGGATATATATTCATCTGCTTATTGTTTGTCTCCCCTGTTGGAGTCATAAATCCATGAGAGCAATGACTTTTGCTTTTGTGTTCCTTACACTCTTATCACCAAGGCCTTAAATAGGGCCCCGCACACACTGGGTGCTTAATTAATATTTGCTTAATGAAAACATGAATGAGGATATGCAAGAAAGAAAGGGATCTGTGCTGTTTCCTTTTGTATTTAGTTCACACACTGCGCCTCCCCATCCCTCTTGCAGTTTTGGGAGCTCTGAGAAAGCAGAGCTTTCATGTTAGCCGCATGGCAAATCACCACAACGGTCAGTCTCACCTTTCTAAAACACAATTGCAAAATGCCAAACAGAACACATGCAGTGTGACTCAGCCCGCAGAATATAGGCACAAAACAACACTGCAGGCAGACCTGGGGATAGGTACAAAAGTCCACCAGGGCTCAAAAATCCTTTCCTGGAAGCTTTTGAAGTAAATCAAAGATTCTCTTTCCTTTCCAGACAACCAGAAGCACAGATACACATTCCCTGGTTGTTAAGCCAAGACACAAATCTTCTACATGTGTGATCCAGTACCAGCATAGCCCTTTGTCATCAGGAACCATATGCCCAGGCCCTGGGGGGCCCTGTGGTCAGAGAACAGGGATGCCCACTAGAGGGTCAGCCAGTGTTAACAACCCAGTCAGACTAAATCCTATAACAAATATTCTATAATGCCCCTTTACCATCCTGAAATGAAATGTGTGCATATTACTATCTACCTCACACAGTTCTTAAAAAATCAATATATAATAATATAAAGGAGGAATATAAAGATTTAGATTAATTTAATAAATATAACAAAACATATTAGATTTCAAAATGTAAATACTTAGGCACAGCCACCCTTGCAGAATCATGAAGCAGTCAGCTAGATGTAGCAACAGCTCCAAATGAAAAACACAGCAGGTATGTTTTCATGGAGATGTAAAAAAGGAAGCAGTATTGCTATCAGTGACTTGATTTTCCGAGCAGGCGAACAAATCTTGCTACTGTTCCAAATGAGACAAAGTAATCTTTCCTTCATTTACAAAGAACTGCACTTCTGGAAAAGTCAGTAATTATTAAAAATATTTATCTTCCTATATAAAATACAGATAAGTTTCCAGACAGGGTAATTGTAAACAGGGTTGTCTACTACATAAATGTCCAGTTGGGCATTCAAAGGATGGATGGGCCCAGGGAGGGACTGCCTGCACCATGTGTCTGGTGTCCCCCGGGAAACCATATCCATCCCCTGCCCCCCGTTCCCAGCCCCTGCCACACACACACAGATACATAAACACACACATTTTCAAAATGCCCCCAAAAGGTAACTTTGCCCCTCTATACCCCAGAACTGCTTTTCTGGGCCAATGGCAGGCCTAACTATCAGAGCCCGCAGAATGTTTGGTGGTCTTTGGGTTTGATTTGCTCCCCTTTAATACACTGCCAAGGTCTGCGGAAAAAGCACACAACAAACATTTATGGAGGAAAGTGGCTCCTGCAGGCAGATGGCAAAGATAGCCTGACTTCTCTGAGGAGAAGTCATATGGGGGAGAAACGGGGAGAAGGAGGGTAGAGAGGGTATGGTAAGAAAATAGGAGAGCTTGGGTGTATCCAGTCCCAAGAATGTTTACCTCTGTGCATGTGGTATCAGTCTGGATTCTCCAGAGAAATAGGAGATAGCTATATATGCACAGAGATTTATTGTAAGAAATTTTCTCACATGATTATGGAGCTGAAAAGTCCCCAGATCTGCAGATCCAGGAGAGACAATGGCGTGGTTCCAGTCTCAGTCTGAGTCTGAAGGCAGGAGAAGACAAATGTCCCAGCTCAAGACAAGCAAGCAGAGAGTGAGTCCACTCTCATGCACTATTTTTGTTCTATTCAAGCCTTCAGTGGATTGAAGGAGGCCCGCCCTGGACAGGACAATCTACTTTTCTTAGTCCACTGATTGACATGTTAATCTCATCCTTTAGAAACACCAAGAAATAATGTTTAACCAAATATCTGAGCACCCCCTGGCCCAGTCAATGTGACACATAAAATTCACCACCACACTCTGGATCTCCATTTCCCACCCATTTCCTCTGAGGACTTGAAGCCAAACAGAATCAGGGTCTCACACACACCCATTGATTTGGAGAACGGTATAGGGTGGGTGTTTTCTGGAGTGACTGATTTTGAAATGGAAAAGAAAATTGAGAACACTGTGATTAAGCCAGGCTATACTTTGAAAATATCAGGCACCACCCTTTCCACTTGCCATACCCTAAAACCAGCTATTGCTATCTGATCAAAATGCCCCCTATTGTTCTGTCTTTTCCCATTGAATCTCCAAAAGGCTTTGCTAGTTTTAATTCCACACTGTGTGAGATGAAAGGCTAATGCCACACTGAGCAGTTTCCAGCCTTTCAATAAAGAGTCACAGCAGTGGTCAAACTGGACCTTCCCTTTACAGAGAAGTTGGGGGAAACTTACTCAGTTGTAGATGTGTGTGTGTACATGTGTGGGTGGTTAAGGAAACATGACGTTGATTCTAACACACACAACTGTTCTAGATATTTCTAAGCTATTCTAGGTGCTTGTGGACCTACCAGTTGAAGCTCCAGCCAAGGCCAACAAACAGCCTCCTGGGCTGTGGTGCTAATGGCTGTCTTCTCCCCAGCCTTCATCTGCTGTTGGAGTCCATACTTCCTCTTCGACATCCTGGACAATTTCAGCCTTCTTCCAGACACCGAGGAGCGCTTCTACGCCTCTGTGATCATCCAGAACCTGCCTGCCTTGAATAGCGCCATCAACCCCCTCATCTACTGTGTCTTCAGCGGCTCCATCTGCTTCCCCTGCGGGTAAGGGGCGCAACTGCCTGCAGTGCACATGGCTGCTGTGCTCCACCTCCCTGGCGACCCTCCTCACAGCAGAACCCCCCCACAGGTTATAGATGAGACACTGAAGGGTCAGAAAGGTCCCGTTAGCATGACAAATTCAGTCCCAGGCCAGGGCTGGGCCATGCTCTTTCTCCTCTGCCACATCCCCTCCTACGGCAACCCTCGCAATCAGGTCACATACAGAATGTTTCTTTTGTTCAAAGCTTCTGCACAGGAAATACCTCGACACAGTGCTGTGGTGAAAGCAGACATGAGCATCACCATTTTACAGTCAAACAAAGTAAGGTTCACAAAGATAATGGTATTACTGAGGTTATGAATAATTAGTAGCAGAGCTGAAATGAGGTTCCCTCCCATAACTACTAAGTTATTTTGCTGTTTTTCAGCTGTTTTACTACACAAGCTACAGGGAGTAGGTGAAGAAATCATAAGAAACAGAATAGAATGGTTTAAGACTTGGGTTTGATGCCAGTGCTGATGTATAGCTGCATGTGGCCTTAGGTGATTTATTTAACTTCCATTAAAGTCAGTTTCCTCACCTGTGAAATGGGGCTAACAGCAGTGCCTACATCTTCCCCAGCGATGTCTCTGGTGATGTCCCCTGGGATCTGAGGCTGACTGGCAGGAAGGAGGACTGGGAGTGGTGAGGAGGGAAGTTGGGGGTAAAGTGCTTGGTTCAGTGTCTGATCCTCAATACATTCTCCGTAACTATTATCGCTTAACATCCCTACTACCCTTTCCATCAGGTCAAATTATTTTTCTCCCCCTGCTTTATTCTCTCTCTAGGGAGCAAACACCACGGGGTTCCAGAATGACATGTCGGGAGAAAACTGAGAGGCAGGAGATGCAGGTTCTGTCCAGGCCAGAATTCATCTAGACCCTGGGGCAGTGGTCTCCAGCAGGCTAGGCTGAGCCCCACCAGCTCTTCTGGGTCCCCATCACCACCCTGGGCATGTGCACGGAGCCCAAGGCAACGTCTCAACTCTGCTTCATTCACCACTTGGGTTACGCACGGGGCAAACATCCTGAGTGTATGTGTGTCTGTAGTGTCAGCAGGCACTGGCCAATCTGAAGTCACCAGCTCTTCATGCCGACCAGGAAGGGTGCCGCCCCTTTCCCCACGACTCCCAGCTCTCCTTCCCATTGGTCAGCACCAGACCCCAATGGAAAGAGACACCATTGGCCCAAAGTGCAGGCTTGGGCAAGCAGAGGGTTGTACATGAGTCTTCCAAGTACAAGTTAGGAAGCAAGTAAAAGACTTTGGCCTAGTTTCTCCACCCTGCCCGATTTTTGGATTGGAGGTTCAATTGTTGTAACCGAGAAGATTTTTGTCCTTGAAATGCCAACAAGTTCATTTCTAGGTGCTGCATCATTGCATCCTCTCTGTAGGTAGCCTTGATTTGAAGATGGGTATTCTGGCAACCGCCAGCCTCACTGTCTTATTGTATCAACGAACTTGTGGAAAGAGCACAACCACTGGCCCTTCAAAGCAAGGTGAAAATTAAGGGGCATTTTCTCTGAAAGGAAGAGAAACAGTGCTCAAAAGTCGGGGCCCTCAGTCTCCCACTGTCCCCAGACCGCCAGTCTCAGAGCCCTGGGACCTGGGTCTCACCTGGGCTGCCAGGCTTTCTGAAGGCCTCTCCCTTTGCATTCGACATCTGGACCACGCTGAACTCTGTTCCTCACACTTCAAGGACGCTTCTTCCCCTCTGAACTCTCTGCACTCTCTCTTCAGCGGGGAGCTGAATTTCTGTGGCTGTTCCAGGCGTGGTGTTCTGTATACTCTACATGTCGGGAGAAAACTGAGAGGCAGGAGATGCAGGTTCTGTCCAGGCCAGAATTCATCTAGACCCTGGGGCAGTGGTCTCCAGCAGGCTAGGCTGAGCCCCACCAGCTCTTCTGGGTCCCCATCACCACCCTGGGCATGTGCACGGAGCCCAAGGCAACGTCTCAACTCTGCTTCATTCACCACTTGGGTTACGCACGGGGCAAACATCCTGAGTGTATGTGTGTCTGTAGCGTCAGCAGGCACTGGCCAATCTGAAGTCACCAGCTCTTCATGCCGACCAGGAAGGGTGCCGCCCCTTTCCCCACGACTCCCAGCTCTCCTTCCCATTGGTCAGCACCAGACCCCAATGGAAAGAGACACCATTGGCCCAAAGTGCAGGCTTGGGCAAGCAGAGGGTTGTACATGAGTCTTCCAAGTACAAGTTAGGAAGCAAGTAAAAGACTTTGGCCTAGTTTCTCCACCCTGCCCGATTTTTGGATTGGAGGTTCAATTGTTGTAACCGAGAAGATTTTTGTCCTTGAAATGCCAACAAGTTCATTTCTAGGTGCTGCATCATTGCATCCTCTCTGTAGGTAGCCTTGATTTGAAGATGGGTATTCTGGCAACCGCCAGCCTCACTGTCTTATTGTATCAACGAACTTGTGGAAAGAGCACAACCACTGGCCCTTCAAAGCAAGGTGAAAATTAAGGGGCATTTTCTCTGAAAGGAAGAGAAACAGTGCTCAAAAGTCGGGGCCCTCAGTCTCCCACTGTCCCCAGACCGCCAGTCTCAGAGCCCTGGGACCTGGGTCTCACCTGGCTGCCAGGCTTTCTGAAGGCCTCTCCCTTTGCATTCGACATCTGGACCACGCTGAACTCTGTTCCTCACACTTCAAGGACGCTTCTTCCCCTCTGAACTCTCTGCACTCTCTCTTCAGCGGGGAGCTGAATTTCTGTGGCTGTTCCAGGCGTGGTGTTCTGTATACTCTGTATCATTTTTGCATATTGCAGCCATCGTCTATCTGACACCTCGGCCGGGAAACGCTCGTGGGGCTTATTTTGACAAGTCTGGAGTTTGGTATTTATAAGCATAATCCAAGTGAAATATGACTAAATGTTTTCTAGTCAATTTTTACCATCAGATTTTTTCATAAGTGGAAATGGAATAATTTAATTTGATTATATATACTCCCCCACCTACAGCTTAGGGATGCGTGTGAGCTTATTTTTAGCCTCACATACATTCTTGACATTAAAATCTCCTTGGCAAAATCCTCCTTCCCAGAATTATTCTGAGCTTAAATATTTTTTTTTTTGGCCTACTGCTAGTGGAGTCATTAAAATGTGCAGTATATTTTAATAGCACTCCATTCCTCATTACGGTGTCAACCCAGAAACTGCATGTTTAAGGGCACAGTGGCATTTTTTCCACAAACTCTCTTTTTCAATTCCATCTGACCTTTGGGAAAGTATCACTTTAGCAGAAATCAGATTCCTCAGTCATCATCTCTGTGAGAATTATTCTCTGAATTTGAGAAGCCTGAATAATCTAATCTTAAGTCTACACAACAGTTTTGAAGGCTGCCTCCCTCTCTGCCCAATCAGCTAAATGTGAGCAACTTTGGAAGCTTTGAGTGGTTGAGAAGTACTTCTCAACATTTCACTTTAAATCAAGATGTGTAACATATTCATAGCTAAAATAGCTGCCTGTAAGGGAGCTGGTTAACAGAGCAAAATCCAGAGGTGTCCTAGATGGCAAGCCGGGTTCTCTTAATAGATTCTTTCAATCTCTGTCAAGTCCTGGTCTGCAAAGGACATTACATGTCTACCTCATCCATCAATAGATTCTGAGAGTTAAGGCAAAGAATTGAGTGAGAGATTTGTGTCCTTATAAAACTGGAAATATATGTCTCTGTGGTTGTTGTAATGGTGTGTCTTTTCATTCCCAGAGGAGCCTGGACATCAGTAAGATAATAGTAAGGGGTTGCTGCAGGAGAAGTTACCATTAAAATTAAACTTGCTTTATACTGATATGGATTCTGGGATCCTCATTTGCATGTATTTGCTGAGCTTGGGAAAACATGATTTAAACTGGTGATTACTAGTCTTATGAACCTGGACAAATTATTTAATGTCTGGACATCAATTGTCTCATCTGTAAGTAGCTTTACTAGCTATCACTACGAAGACAGAGAAACATCATTTCCCAATTGAGAAATACAGTTTGAGCTCCTGGGGAAAATGAGAAGCTTAGTGTTGTGATGGCACTATTTGTAGCTTTGGATGCCCAAGTGGGGTCAGAGAAGGGTGTTATATAAAATAAACATGCTTACTTCCCACAACAAGATGTCCAAGAAGTCTTTGGCTACACTGTGGCATAGCTTTAGTCACAAGTGAAAATTTAGGATATCCAGAATAGGTGTCCTTAGTGTATTTAGCCATGCTATAGAAAATAAGCGTCTCCACTTTACTGAACTAATTTAAGTATGAATGGTAAAACCTTCTCTGCTTTTAGGGCTTGCGTGGAGTATAATTTAACTAAATTTAATTTTAACAAGCAACATTTCTCACCCTTGTTCTCCAGAAAGTGGTAACACCTTCTTAATAGCTCTAGTTTGTGATTAATTATGGGGGGAGTGGGGCGGGGTGGGGGGTGAGTACCCCTTTTAAACCGAACAAACATGCAACTTAAATTTTCTTCCACACTTCATTTGGACAACTTTGTATGTACACAAACAGAAATGACTTTTCCTCTTCCTTCTGCATCCACAGTGTGGAAAGGGACCACATGCCTGTGTCTGCTGAAGACAACAAAAATATTTTTAGTAAGAAATAAAGTGCTTCTGTTCTTCTAGAATCATCTTAGTTGAGCTACAGACCTGCTGGCACCTACAGTTCTTTTATCATCATCTGAACAGCCCTCATTTTATATGCAGATCTGCCAGTGTTCCCTGCAGCTTTTCAATGGCATTTGGTTGAAAGGAAATGGCTCTAACTATGCAGGGGCCAACCTCCTTGCCTTTGGAAATATAAAAAACTCATGCCTCATTCTCTGCAAATGTATTTTAAGAATGCATTTTCCACAACAGGGCTGGTCCAGTTAACATTTTAAAACTGCAATTCCATGCTTATAGAATGTTAAAGTGGACAGAGGCTTAAATCAGCTAGTCTCATGGTCTCAAACTGTTCAGACCTCCAAGAGGTTCCAAGAAGATGACTTAATATTAATATTCATATACACAACAATAGCATGTAAGTCTAGAGGAAACTAAATGTACTTACATTGTTTAAAGGTCCTTGAATTACCTGGAATGAGGGTAGAACATAGATTACCACTAGACATTAATACACCAAGAATATAGGTGGTAATTTCAAGATTGCATGTTGTAGTCACTGAAATAATAGAAATGAAGAAACATATAACTTCTAAACTAAAAGAGAAAGAAAACTGAATGATAAAAACACTCAAACAGTCCAGAAGGAGGCAAGAAAAGAGAAACAGGAACATGAACAGCTGGGATGAATAGAAAGCACATAGGAAGATGGCATAATTTTTTGTCCAAATGTATCAGTAGCTCTTTAATAAATGTAAGCACATTAAATATTCCAATTAATCATCAAAGAAATCAGACCAGATTTAAAAAGAAAAACTGTTCTTTATAAAAAAATGTGCCTAAAACACAAGGACACAGAAAGTTTGAAAGCAGGAGAATGGACCAAGGCACTCCATGGAAATAGTACCAGAAGGAGGCTAGTGAGACTGTATTAACAAAACTAAGTAAGTTTTAAGGCAAAAGCATTAGTTGAGTTAAACAGGGACTCTTCAAATGAAAAATGTTTTAGTTCAGTAAGATATAATAATTCTAAATTTCTATGCCTTTAACAAGACCTAAAATATATATATTTTTAAAGTCATCAAATCTACGAAAACACATAGACAAATCCACAGCCATAATGGGAAATTTTATCACACTTAATTCCAATAATTAAAGCAGACAAAAATTTGGACATGACTAACACAGGTGAAGCACTTTAGCCTACCGAAATGAGCAATCTCTTCAAGCACCCATGAAGCAGTTACAAAAGTTGACCTTATGCCAAGCCATAAA